CCCTGTCACTAGGTGCCCCACCCTCCCTTATCTGCTGCACTCTGACCAAAAATGACGATAAATCCTGGATAATTTTTTTGCCCAACTTTACCGTACTTAAAAAACCAGTATCCACCGTACAGTCTATAGTATTTACCGTACTTGTTTTACAAAATATTCCGTAGTTTTTTAACAGTAGTTACCGTTTTTTCGTACAGTCCATGCCGTAGGAAGGACCAGATCTGGTCCCAACATGGGCCGCTCCCAGGAATTGTCCACATCAGGATCTTGAAAAAAGGAGGTCGACCGACTGAAAAATTTTATTGCACCTTTCGATAGGTCTCGTCAAGACATTTTCAACGAGTGGTCGGAAGGGGGGTCCAGGAGTCCGACTTCAGCAGTTACGTGCATCAGGATCTTGAAAAACGAGAGTCGACCGACTGAAATAAATTATAGCAGTTTTTGATAGGTATTAAAAGTACGGGATTGCCGGGTAAATAAGTACGGGATTCCTTGTAAAAAAAGTACGGTGTTGCCTGTAAAAAAAGTACGGTATTGCCTGTAAAAAAACGACGGTATTGCCTGTTAAAAAAAAGTACGGTGAAGTCTGGAGTAATCAGTGCAGGATTTACCGTGATCTTTTCTCGCAGTGTGCTTCTGCTCGAGACAGCTATCTTCTCCATCTTACGGTGAGTAAATTTTTAGCTTTATAGTATTTTATCTCATATTTTAAATCAAACTCCTTTTTGAATAATTGTTTTGTTTGTTTTTGTCTTTTAGAGTGGCCTTGATTTAAGAAACGTGATTAAAAGTCACCGATCTGACAAGCTCGTTGAGGTGTCTGGAGGTGGGCAGCCTCTAATAGTCGTTGTTGGGGCCACTATTACCCAAATTAGCAAGATCTATGTTTCAATAGCTGACTTGGTGTACGAAGTTCCTTGTGCCTTGACAGCGTTGGACATCTGCTTCAAGGCCTTTGTTGCTCTACATATGTCATTCCCCCCTGAAAGTGGGCACATCTGGCTTACCTTGCAGAAGGTTTTATACAAGTTAACAACAGAGTGGGACTTAAAGAGTGATATGAGACACTCTTGGATAGACTTCTATGGGTTTTAAGACACCTATTATTTATATGTCCATTGCTTCTACTTCTGTGCTTCTGTTTCTACTTCTCAATATTTTTTATTGAGTGCTTGCTCATTAGTTTGTTTGTATGCCAGGTTCTATGCCTCTTTCTTTATTGTTACTTCTCAATATCGTTTATTGAGTGCTTGCTTGTTGGTTATTGGTTGGTTTATATACCTGGTTCTATGCCTCATTCTTTGTTTTGACTTGCTTATTAGATTAAAATTATTTTTTCATCATGTATACTTGTTATCTGTGTCAAGCTCAATTTGCCTCTACAGATTTACTGAAGGCGCACTTTGTTTTTGGCCCTCACTCAGCCCATATGCTGAGTTCATTCACCTGTGCCCAAGGCAACTGTAGAATGCGCTTAGGCTCTCTTAAAGTGTTTATTTCTCATCTTAAAAATGCACATGGCGCTGCACCTGGCCCCATTCTATTACCTGACGAAGTGAACGAAGTGAATGAAGTTAACCAACATCCAAATGAGTATTTTGACGATCATAATATAAATGAGAACATTGAAAATGTGCCTGAAGGTGGTGGTGGAGACAGAGACCCTCCCATAGAGCCGATAAGTGTCGAAAATTTTATTAGAGTAATCTGTAAGAATTCAGCGGTTCTTGCTGCTTCTCTGAGCTCCATACCCAATGTTAATCGTACAAATATTACAACTTTCATCGCTCTTGTGTCTGGCTTTTTGCAATGTGGTATTGTTTCCGCATTAAAAGATGAGGTTGTTAATTTATTTGATTTGTGTGATAACCCTGACATTCGGGCAGAAGTTGCAGATGTTAAAGTTATGTTCGACCTCTTATCAGACCCCTTCGAATCAATTGCTTCAGAATATCGCAGACTTGCTTCTGCTGAAGATGATGGTCATTTCATAAAACCTGAGCCTTATGTAATGTTCCATAGGGACAAATATGAAAACAAAAATGGGCATGTAGCTTTAATCAGAGAACCTGCTTCAGGACAAATTGTACATTTAGGCAGTGTGTTAAAGTTTCTGTTTGAAATACCTTTCATGTTTGACAGTGTGTATGATTACATGAACTCTCTTCTGAATGACCGAGATGTCATTCAAAATTTCATCCAGGGTGAATTGTGGCAGGAAGAGCTGGCCAGTTTTGAGGGCAAAATAGCGATTCCTCTTCACATGCATTTCGATGACTACGAATCTGGCAATTGTTTAGGTAGTCATGCTGGGGACAAAGCACTTGGTGCCTTGTATGCATCAGTTCCATGTCTGCAGAGGACCGATTTAGAGCGTGCCTTTGCTATCCCGCAGTGTCCCAGTGCGATTGGCGACGATGACTTTTGAGGAGATTCTTTAGCGTCGTGCTACGTGAAGTGCCGAAAACACGAAAAGTCAAAATCAAATTTCGCGTTTCTGTTAAAGCAGAGGACCGATTTAGAGCGTGCCCTTGCGATCCCGCATAGTCCCAGTGCGATTGGCGACAATAACTCTTGAGGAGATTCTCTAGCGTCGTGCTACGTGAAGTGCCGAAAACACGGAAGGTCAAAGTCGAATTTCGCGTTCCTATTGAAGCAGAGGACCGATTTAGAGCGTGCCCTTCCGTTCCCGCACAGTCCCAGTGCGATTGGTGTCGATGACTTTTGAGGAGATCCTTTAGCGTCGTGCTACGTGAAGTGCCGAAAACACGCAAAGTCAAAGTCGAATTTCGCGTTCCTATTGAAGCAGAGGACCGATTTAGAGCGTGCCCTGGCGATCCCGCATAGTCCCAGTGCGATTGGCGACGATGACTTTCGAGGAGAGTCTTTAGCGTCGTGCTACGCGGAGTGCCGAAAACACGGAAAGTCAAAGTCGAGTTTCGCGTTCCTGTTAAAGCAGAGGACCGATTTAGAGCGTGCCTTTGCTATCCCGCAGTGTCCCAGTGCGATTGGCGACGATGACTTTTAAGGGGAGGTTCTACTGAAAATATTGCATTTTTCAAATTGAGACCCAGTGTAAAAATTTGTTGCAGATGTATAGTAATACATAGTTAATGGTCAAACATGAAATTTAGAGCCCAATACCTCCCTCCAAATCCAGTCGAAGAGGTTTTTTCAGCCTATTGTAGCAATATCTTAAAATATTCTCCTACGCAAAGCATTTCAACGTAAACTGATGTTCTGGACATTTTTCACTTCTTTGGCTCATATGCAATAAAGCGTGGCATCACCAAGACATGGGACCCAACAAATTTATTTTGGCGTTGCTTTTCAGAAAAAAAGTTACTAAAATATCAAAAATTTTAACATTTTCTTGAAATTTTAATGACATGCTGTCTTAAAAACACAGCTTATGCTTTTGTAATGGTCCCAGTATCTTACTAATGCCACGGTTTATCAATTATGAACCAAAGAAGTGAAAAATGCCCAGAACATCAGTTTACGTTGAAATACTTTGCGTAGGAGAATTTTTCAAGTTACGACTGGAAATAGCAGAAAATTCCTCTTCGACTGGGTTGGGGGCTAGGTATTGCTCTCCAAACTTCAAATTTAACTATTTACTGTGAAATACTTTAAATTTACAATGAATATTGATAATGGGACTCAATTTGAAGAAAGTAAGATTTTCAGTAGAACCTCCCCTCAAGGAGATTCTTTTGCGTCGTGCCCTAGTAGCACGGACCCCTCGCCCTACACTCGCCTCCGCCGCGCCTCGGCGACACCCGATAATCGCCGCGGAGTCAATCTCGAAAGTGCCGACCGCCAGGCGCCTTCACGAGCACCACAGCACCCACCCGCTCCGACATCTTGGCGACCCTCTCACAATGTTGGCGCACGTTAACCTGTAGGCCCTGCCTACTGCTTTCGCGGCGATGGTGCCGGGGCGACGCTCGGAGGCACGGTCACGCCCCACGACGAGCAAGACGCCGGCGAGGTGAACACGCCAGCTGCCCGGCGCGGGGTGTCGCGGCGATGGCGCCGGGGCGACGCTCGGAGGCACGTTCACGCCCCACGACGTGCAAGACGCCGGCGAGGTGAACACGCCAGCTGCCCGGCGCGGGGTGTCGCGGCGATGGCGCCGGGGCGACGCTCGGAGGCACGTTCACGCCCCACGACGTGCAAGACGCCGGCGAGGTGAACACGCCCGCTGCCCGGGGCGGGGTGTCGCGGCGATGGCGCCCGGGGGGACGCCGGAGGGGACGTTTACCCCACGACGTGCAAGACGCCGGGGAGGTGAACACGC